TCAGGTGGCCTTCTGTCAGAGACCAACTCTCTACTCCATACAGCAGGATAGAAAAAATATAGCATCTGACAAGCCCGATTTTCAGCCTTAGGCTTATGTCGTGACTGTAGAAGACATTTTTCATTTTGAAGAATGCTATTCGAGCTTTCTCTATCCTTGTCTTTACTTCAGTGGTCATGTCCCAGCTTTCATGTAGATTAGAACCGAAGTGCGTGATCCTTTCAACTTTTTCTAGTAGTATTCCTTCTGAATTTATTGGTGGTAAATTAACTGGTTGTTTGCTGATGACCATGATCTTGGTTTTTGAGGTGTTAAGCTTCAAGCCGTATTTTTCAGATATTTCTGTGACTCTGTTGATGAGGAGCTGAAGGTCTTCATGCTTACTGGCAAGCAGAACTGTATCATCAGCATATCTTAAGTTTTTGATCCAAACACCATTTACTTTGATGCCAGCATCGATGTTCTCCAGTGCCTCGTTGAAGATTGATTCAGAGTAGATAAATCACTAGTGCAGGGGTAGGCAACCTTGGCTCTTTTATGACTTGTGGACTTCAACTCCCAGACTTCAACTCTCAGAACCATGCTGGTTCAGGAATTCTGGGAATTGAAGTCCACGAGTCATAAAAGAGCCAAGGTTACCTACCCCTGCACTAGTGGATAAGACCATACTTGGAAGAGAGCAAAGAAGTATCAGAAAGGATGAACACATAGATGTGTTGAAGCAAATCCAGCCTCATTTGAAGTTAGACAAGAATGTTTTCTCTAAACATTTCCATGTATTTCCTTATAAGCTCAGCAGATTCATTTCTATAGGACGGCCAACTGATCAGCACCACCTCTTCTTCCTTCTCCAACTTCTCCTGATCCAGTTCATTATCTCAGGAAATAAATTGCTCCAAGCGAAGTGTGACACTTGCGTGAGGGCAACTTTCTGGCTGCTGAGGCTATTAATGTTTAAGATGCAGTTAAAAGAGGGGTGGAAAATAGCTTTAGTAGAGCATTTCTCAGGCCATTAGTTTAAAGAATTTTCCACATAATTTCTCCCTGACATTCATAAATAGAAAAGAAAAAAAATCTATTTCCTCTCGTTTGCTAAATGTAGCTTGATTCTAATCAGGAACAGTAGTAGCCATCTATTTCATATGCTCCAGTACATGATGCTTTTTCTCTGACTATACCCCAAAAGATATTATTAGAAGAAGGGTTTGTCTCTAGATTTCTAAGTTTCTAGCCTTCATCCTTAAAGGTCTCCTAATTTTGTCACTTATAGGGGGAAAGGCTTAATGAGCTATATCAGTGTTTCTCAACCTTGGCAAGTTTAAGATGAGTGATACTATATGGTGATATATTGGGTGATATATTGCTGGCTGGGGAATTCTGGGAGTTGAAATCCACCCATCTTAAACTTGCTAAGGTTGAGAAACACTAATCTACACCTTTCTTCTTGGCTACTTCTATTTCATTAATAGCTACATAATATGGCAGACCTCCTTCAAAGAATACACCATGGGTAATTTTGAAATAGAAAGTTTAAAGATAACATCTTTAGAATATTGATGTCCTGAATAATGCTAGCATGGTAATATCATATATAGTATCATAATAATAACAACAGAAATACTATAATTATGTTATTATAGTTCACACAGCTAGAGCTGGGCAACATGTTAAGCTCTGAGCTATGGTTTACAAGGGCAAGGTTCACATGGCATAGCAAACCAAAATCATTGGTTTAGAACAATATGTGAAGCCATGCCCAGCCATATTTTATTTATATGCAAAGTAATTCTTGGTTTCTTTTGATCAGGTTTTGTGAAGCTCTGCTATAAGCTTTATTTGCATAACATTCTCCCCAGATCCTAAATTAATTGCACACACTGCATCTTTGCAATACATTGCCCACAAATAAGCAAATCATATTAATCCACTCTATTGTGAGTAGTTTGTTCTGACCTTTCATCTGGATGTTCACTAAGTGGCAGGGAAGAGACTGAATAAATACAAAATAAAATACAGAAATACAAAAAAATATGCAAGCAAGCTGAAGAAAAGTGGACCACGTAGGTAGCTGCTGCAAGAAGATCACATAAACTGACTATAAACAACAGCATGACAAAGTAACAACAATGGAATATCTGCAAGAAATACATGCAAGCAACAACTGGTGGTACCACAAAATAGAGAAAGCAATCAAAATGAAAAAATAAAGTGCTCTAGGACTTTAGAATCAAACAGATAAGCACCCGCCACATAACAACCCGGACTTAACAACTGTTGATAAGAAAGACAATAAAGTCTGGATAGTAGACGTGGCAGAACTTGGAAAGAGCAGAATAAGAGAGAAAGATTCAGAGAATCTAACAAAATTCAAAGACCCATAAACAGAAAGAGAATGACTGTCACAAAAGAAAGCAAAGATAGTACCAATATTAATGGGCAGCCCCAAACATCTAGAGCACTGCTTGAACACCATTGGCACTGTCAAAACCCTAATCAAAAGGCAGCTTTACTTGAAATAGTTTACATCATGCCACGATACCTTTAACATCTTCAGACAACATCTGCCTATCCCTGCTTTTTGAGAAGGATTCGATAGATCAATAAAAATGCCAAATCCAGTCTAAACATCTGGCAGGGTGTACAATCAACCTAATAATCAATGAACTTTTTTGTTACCATCTAATGATTATCCTAGCAACAAAAACAAAGAAATATACCATAGAACAAATCAATCCAGAGTTCTTAGTCAAGGTACAAATGACCTGGCTCAAAATACCATTATTTTGGGTACATTGTGTGCAGAGCCAGCTCTCTTTGAGAAATCTGTAATGCTTAGAAAAATGGAAGGAAATGGAAGAAAGGAACACCAGCAGCAAGGTGAATAGACTGTATTATAGTGTTGATGAATGTACTGTTGGAAGATGTGAAGGATGAGGGTGAAGCCAGATTGCCTTGGAGAAAATCTATCTGTGTGATTGATTTGATGGCATATAATCAATCAAAAACCCTCAACAAAGATTGTTCTCTATGGTTGAGTTCACTCTTCGTTTTTCTGCCAGTAGAGCTCTAGGGACTGTTTCAGCTGTTTCATCTCCTAGAGCTTGTCTAAAAATGACAAGATTCCTCTGAATGGAACCCATGGGACGATCCAACTGAAATCATTGTCACCCATTCTTTTCAAGCAACCAAGGCCTAAACTGAATTATACACTAGCACCTCAGAGACAGCCACAATCTCACTCTGAAACCCAGCTAGATCCATCAGGTTCTTGGGAAGATGATTAAACAGGTCCTTCCAAGGTGGGGGACAGCCACAGAAAAGTCTAAGGCTAAGAAGAATCTGAACATGATAAGCAAATAATAGTACCTTCCCCCCACAAATCCCAGATCACACTATAATTGCACTAAAATTAAAACCAGATCTGATGTGTGTGGAGCTCTTTTGACCTGGGTTAAGTTCATAGTTCCCACAATGGGCGTGAATTCCCAAACTACTTCTGATTCCATGCCCAGAGAAGATAGGTTGAAATTCCTCAAGACTGGGAAGTCTAGGAAGCCACTCTGGTTGTGGTGTCCAGCAGCAAGGAGGTTGGTAAGTAGCAACAATCTCATCTGTTCCTTCGAGCCCAACATCACAAACAGGGTCTCATATCCATCTAATCAGTGAAGCAAGTATGAGTCCCTCCAACGAGGATGCTTAGATCTGTCCGAGCCCAGCTAGGACAGACATGATAAGTGGGATTTGAAGCAAAATGCTATGCTGTTTATCCAGCCAACTTACCTTGCCCTTCTCCAAAATACTGTACAGGTAGTCCTTGATTTATGACCATTCGCTTAACAATCATTTGAAATTACAACAGTGCTGAAAAAAGTTACTTATGGTCGGTCCTTGTCCTTGTGACAGTTGCAGAATCCTGGTGGTCACGTGATAACAATTTGGGCACTTGGCAACTGGCATGTCTGTATGACAATTGCAGCATCCTGGGTTACATGATTGCCATTTGTGACCTTCCTAGATGGCTTCTGGCAAGCAAAATCAATGGGGAAATTGGATTCACTTAATGACCATGATCTGCTTAATGACCATGTCAAAAAGGTTGTAAAATCAGACATGGCTCATTTAACAAGTGCATTGCTTAGCAACAGAGGTCCCAATTGAGAACTACCTATATTCCATCCTCTCTCACTGTCCATCAGCGTGCTGTCAAATAAGGATGGCATGACCTTATTGGGCTGAATTTTGGGGGGAGGGATCTTCCTTGAAGGGCTATCTTAATGATTTTAATGATTTTTCATACTACAGTTCTGAAAATGTTAAGAGTTTTCCTAAATCACCCACTGTTGCATTAATATCTTGGTTACTGAAATGATTCAAGTTTTGGGAAATGAGCTTAAATTGGTATGCTCTTCCTATGTATTCCTGTTGCCCTTGACCATTGATCATGTTGGCTGGGATTGAAAAGGCAGTTAAACCTACTGAAGGGAATCAGTTGAGGTGAAGATGGAATATAGAATAACAGAACAGAATAACAGAACAGAGTTGGAAGGGACTTTGGAGGTCTTCTAGTCCAACCCCCTGCTTAGGAAACCCTCTACCATTTCAGACAAATGGTTGTCCAATCTCTTCTTTAAAACCTCCAGTGTTTTTAAGTTGAGCATCCACAACTTCTGGAGGCAAGTTGTTCCACTGGTTAATTGTTCTCACTGTCAGGAAATTTCTCCTTAGTTCTAGGTTGTTTCTCTCCTTGATTAGTTTCCATCCGTTGCTTCTTGTCCTGCCTTCAGGTGCTTTGGAGAATAGCTTGACTCCCTCTTCTTTGTAGCAGCCCCTTAGATATTGGAACACTGCTATCATGTCACCCCTCATCCTTCTCTTCATTAAACTAGACATACCCAATTCCAGCAACCATTCTTAATATGTTTTAGCCTAATAATATAAATAACATTATAATCTTCTGGGCTGGCTAACAAAATAAATGAAAGGGAGATGCGATAGCTCACCTAAGAATCCTTCTTCATCCACTATGACTGTGTAGTCTTCAGGTGTCTCAGTCAGGCTGAAAAATTTGCACCTGGAAGAGAGAGAAAAGCAGGAGAAAAAAAATGTGTTTAGCTCCCAGTCAACCGTCAAGATTAACGCATACTTAATTTAGAAACCATACTTTCTAAAGTATGGTTTTTTTAAGGCATGTGGACTTTTTAAGGCATGTGGACTTCAACTCCCAGAATTCCACAGCCAGCAATTCTGGCTGTGGAATTCTGGGAGTTGAAGTCCACATGCCTTAACATTGTCAAGGTTGAGAAACACTGTTCTAAATGAATTTGTTTATTAGATATTTATCCCTTCTTTATTTTTGTATAAATAACCAAAGGTGGTTGAACATACATAATACCCCTTCCTCCTCCATTTTTCCCTACAACAACAACCTTGTGAGGTGGGTTGGGCTGAGAGGAGTAACTGGCCCCAAATCACCCAGTTGGCTTTCATCCAATAGATCTCAGTGAGACCTTTGTTCTTATAGATGGCCTATGCCCGTGCCTTCCTATAATGGATATTTACTTGAGAGTAAATTCCCAGAAGGAATTTGAGATGCAGACCTGACTAAGCTTGTGTGAGGCTGCAAGGGTTTTGCATGTGTGTGCCTTTGAGTCAGTTTTCACTCCTGGCGAATGCCTGGATTAGTTCCCTGCAGTTTTCCTGGCAACATTTCAGAAGTGGTTTGCTATTGCCTGCTTCCATAGAGAAGAATCAAGTTACCTATAAAGTGATTCTGCAACAGATTATTTTCCTCCAAGTGCACCTTTAAAAGACTGTGGTGGCACAGTGGTTAGAATGCAGTATTGCTGGCTAACTCAGCCCACAGCCTGGGGTTCGATCCTGATGGGCTCAAGGTTGACTCAGGCTTCCATCCTTCCAAGGTCGGTAAAATGAGGACCCAGATTGTTGGGGGCAATAGACTGACTTTGTAAAACGCTTAGAGAGGGCTGTAAAGCACTAAGAAGTGGTAGATGTTTAAGTGCTATTGCTATTTAAGAACACATTTAAGCATACATATTCCAGCTAGTTTACTCATTATTCAAAAAAGAGTAATGGCATTGCTGAAACAGGATGGAGAAACAGGATGCAAGCTCAGATTTGCATAAAATTAGCAATACGGTAATTCAGATAAGCACAGAATCTTGCTGAAATTTGGCTAATCTTAAGATGTATCAGGCTTGGTTGATATTGGATGAGACACCATCAGAAAATCCCACGGCCAAAGGCTAGACTGGAGAGTAAAAAGAAACAAAACAAGAAATAGGAAATAGCAAATTTCTTCTGTTATGCTGAGAAAGTTTCCGGAATATGTTCATGTAAGTCACCAGAAGTTTAGTTCGACTCAGAAGTGACTTCATTAATACAGGTAGTTCTCGACTTAGAACCTTTGTTTAGCAACCATTCATAGTTAAAATGGAACTGAAAAAAGTAATTCTATGATTGGTCCCCACACTTACAACCATTAGAGCATCTCCATGTCACATGATCAAAATTTGGGCCCTTGACAACTGGCACGTATTTACAATGAATGCAATATCCTGGGGTCAACTGATCACCATCTGGGACCTTTCCAGCTGGCTTCTGACAAGCAAATCAATGGAGGAAGCCAGAGTTGCTTAATAACCACCTTATTCACTTAACAAGTGCAGTACTTCACTTAGCAACCATGGCAAAAAAGGGACTAAAATTGGGTGTGACTCACTTAACAACAGCCTTGTTTAACAATGGAAATTGTGGTCCTAATTGTGGTCATAAGTCAAGGCCTACTTTTAATTCAGAAGCAAACTGCTCTTATCTGATTTTAAAATTTCCACCTTTTAAATGGAGGGCTATTTCCCATTAAAAACTCAAAGTGGTAGACACGGGGCATCTGCTTGCAATAATTCCCTACAACATTCCTGTGAGGTAGGTGGATTGAAAGATACAAGACTGACCCCATCACCAGGTGACCTTCCATTGCCAAAGGTGTCCTGGTTCCACTCCATGAACTTCCTAAAATAATGCAGTTGAAAATCCATTCCATTTACAGGGCTAGCAAGAACTTGATACCATGATAAGACTTATGAATAGGATGTCTCTAAAGGGTTTATGTGAAGGTGACCCTATTCTTCTACATATCTAAAGCTCAGCTTGTTCCGTTGGTTGCCATTCTTGGGAATTGACTGCAGACCTCTACACATGCTCAGGAATTGATAACATGCAGTGAGACATGTGCAGATCTGTACATTGGAGTAACAAAA